TGCAGCTGCAGTCTAGATGATCAATTCAAGATGCAGAAAGGAATGGAGCAGACATTTCTCTTCAAAAAAATATTTGGTGAAGCTGGTGAGAACACGCTGTCTTGCAAGTTTATCAAAGAAGATGGCATTACTTGGGAAGTTAAAATGACTCCCAGTGGCAGCTCATCCGATTCAAATGAGAAATTTGATAGTTTAGACGTAAATGCATCACCGGTAATATCCGAAACTGTGAAGGAGACATTCCAGCTGCTCTTCACGAAACCAGATGCGTCTTTGGGACAGACAGTAGAAGCTTTTGCATCATGCATTGTTGGACCAGATTACTTCTGGTGCCAGTTTTCAAACTCTGAAATACTTGACCAAATCACCCTTGTTGCCCAAGAATATGGAAACTCTAGTGAGACACAGCTGATTAAGGTGGATAATTTGGATCCTGGAAGCCTGTGCCTGGCTCGTTTCTGTGACGATCAGATGTGGTATCGTGCACAGGTTATTAATAAATGCACAAACGTTGTATCTGTCCTTTTTGTTGACTTCGGAAATGAGTCTGAAACCAGTGAAGGCTCTGTTAAGGCACTACCTTGTGACTTGCTGGAAAGTCCACCTCAAGCTTTTCTGTGTCAGTTGGAAGGGTTTGATCCTTCCAAGGGATCTTGGGACAGTGCAGCTACTGATAACTTCTACGAGCTCTTAGTGGATGAACCTCTGAAAGTGACTGTGCAGTGCATTGACGGTACAACGGACCCTAACCCTCCATATTATGTTAAAGTTGAGTCTCCGCAATGTCTTGTAAATGAGCTCATGATGAAGTTTTGGAGCGGTTCTGCACAAAATGATCAGAACTCTTCTGAGGTGATTGAATCCTGTGAAAAATCCATTGCATCAACATCTGATCGACTTGTTTCAGAGGATAAAACAAGTGTGAGCCTTGAAATCTCTACAGAGGATATGCACACAATTGAACCTCATGGTGCAGAACAACATGGAGCTAATCAGATCGAACCATTAGTAAAAGGTGACTTGCATGGTGTACCTGAAAAGAAGGTGGCTGATCAGCTTGATGGAGCAGATGTGATTGCTGCTGTAACAAATTCTGATGTCATTGCTGATCCTACAGGGATGAATTTAGATTTAGAAATCCACGAAGTCTGTCATGAATCTGACGAGGGCAATCCTGTTGTATCAACTGAGCAAATGCTGCGACACACAGCGAAAAGTAGAAAAGATATAGAACATGGAGGATCTGAAAAAGGTTTGTGTTTCTGTGTCTGATTACATTTCATATGGGATATTATTTATTTAAAGTTGATATTTAGTCACCGGCTTACTTTACCATGCTTATTTATTTTTCAGCAGGCAACCCGATGACGTCAAGCAGAAGTACAGATTGGGTAGCTGGTTTAGAAAATCCAATTTTACCCATGGTATTTGCTTTTTTGTTTTTTCTTTTTTTTTCTTTAGTATGTGGAGATTTTTTTTTTTTTGCATTCAGTAATCTTGTTTTAAATTAATAACTGTTTTTCTTTTTTTGTTACTTTGTAGGTTTGCACTGAAGATTCATGTGACTCTAAGTGCATCTTCAAATGAACAGAATTGTAAACTTTATAGTGAAAAGGGGAACATTCCCCACTTTTTTTCATGGGGAAAATGAATGTGAACTGAAAAATATTTGTTTCAAAAAGACAACTCAGCCTTTGAAAGATTAGCTATTTTATTTTGCCATGTTTCTTGTCATTTTAAAACATAAGAGCCATGTCTTATTGCATTGCTAGGTTTTGTTGATAGTTTTTACACAAGTAATTGTGAATCGAAATGATGATTGTACAGAAAGCACAAGTGTTTCGGGCCACAATCCTGCTCTGCCTTCACTCAGAAGTTTGTCGTTTGTATGGATTACATGTGCAGTGGAAAAAAATTGTCTTATTGTAAAACATATATAGTGTGTATTAATTTTTCTTTTTCTTGATCATTGTTTGTTGGAATAAAACCCGTTCATAGAATTGACTGTGTTGCTTGTTTTGTTAACAGGGACATTGCACATTAATAAAACATTTCTGTAAATGTACCAGAATTAGCCAAAGGCTATTTTCCATCACAGTCCCTGGACAAAATGTTACAAGTTACCCTAAAAAGAAATGTGCTTAAAATACACATGCTAGAAGAATTTAAACAAGAACATAACGCAGTCCATAAAATAATCTAACAATAAAAACAGTCAAGAGAAATAGAACAAATGAAATCAATCAAGATTACTCCATCTAAGTGGTATAAAACCATGGTTGATTTGAGAATTTTAAAGGTGAAAAAATGTTAATTTTAGGAAATTTGTTATTAGATAAAAAAAATTCTAACTTTTTCTCCCACACTGCCGTTTTGAAACCGCTAAAAAATTAAGTTTACGTGTGTCCTTGACGATTTAGTTAAGTTGTTTTAATTCTACACGTTTTTTAGCGCTTTCTCACTCAGTACTGCTGTAATTTGCTGGGTGTCAATGAATGCATTACAGTAAGCAGGCTAAAACTACGTGCAACCATGATACTCGAAAATAAATGCAGTAAAAATTTAAACAACGTAAGTGAATCTGAATCTGTGTGTCGTCCAGAATCACTATAAAAGACGTCTGTATTGTTTCTCATTTCTTAGTGTAGTCACCAGTAGCGACTATGCTTGTGAGACAATCAGTTTAAAGTTCAAAAAGGCTCAAAATCCCAGTAAAATCCTACGGCGATCAGCATTCAGATTTATTTTTTGTCTGAACTAAAACATTTGTACATTGCAATGCATAAAAATATATAAATACAGCGGTGTCGTAACTGACACGCAAATGTAAACTAGCTCAAACGATCTCTAGCTCAAATTCCTCAATCATCACAAATGGCTGTGATTGGTCCATAATGAACTGCGTTGAGAAAAGTAACAGGTATCACGTGCTTATCGTGCACAGTGATGTAATGACATTTCGAAATGAAAATATATTGCATTGAAAATATAAAGTGAATATTTATATAATAGAATAATTATAAGTTATTAAAAAAAATTTTCCTAGGGGAAAATCCCTTTGGGAAACACAGAGAGAGGGTTTCAGTTTTAATGTTACTGTTTAAAAAAGGGGTTGCCAGAGTTGCATCAGGCAGCAGCTGCTGGAGATTATGATCTGGTGGAAGAAATTGTGAACAAAATTCATGTGACACTAATCAGAAAGACCCCTCTGCATTAGGGCAGCATCCAAAGGCAGGTTCCAAAGCCTACTTTCGGGACCAAAAGTTGCTGTTTTATTCCAAATGTGTAAAAAGCAATCATTATTAGAACTTAATAGTCTATTACAAATTAAAAAACAATCAACAGATTAGTAGTATGAATGTCTTGTAACTTACATTTACATTTAGTCATTTAGCCGACGCTTTTATCAAAAGAGACTTACAAATGAGGACAATAAAAGCAGTCAAAACTAACAAAAGAGCAACAATATATAAGTGCAAATGACAAGTCTATATATATATATATTATACACACACATAAACACACACACACACACACACACACAAAGAAAAACAAGTAGATAGAATAGAAAAATATAAATAATCTTTATTTATAAAAAATAAAAAAAGATACATGTACATAAAGTAGAATTAAAATAGAATAGAAAGTGCTAGAGTTAGAGGGTCAAATAAAAATTTTCACGTAAAAAAAAACAACAAAAAAACTTCATGTTGAATATGGTGAAATGTGACCTGGACATTTGTGATGCTAACGCCATTTAACCTCTGATCTTCTTTAAGGCCAAACAGAGGTGGTTCGGATACTAATTGAAAATGGAGCCAGGGCTTGTTTGAGGACGGACAATGGATGGACACCCGCACATTTTGCAGCGGAGTCCGGAAAGCTAGCAGTACTACGGCTCCTTCATTCCCTCCATGCACCTGTAGTCGAGGAGGATTCCTCCGGCGCTACACCTGTCAGGATCGCTCAAATCTATGGACATGAAGATTGTGTTCAGTTTCTTAAAAAGTGAGATGAATCTATTGTTTTGTTTTCTGAATCCTATTTGTGAAATAATCCGTTTTTATTGATTTGGCCCCTAAAATTAGGAGGCATTTTCTGATGCTGTTTAGTCAAAGAAGTGGCAGTGTGATACAAGACATTCAATAATGTGGTGTTCTCTGTACTTTCAGGGCAGGGGTTGAGAGCAGAAACTACCGGAAAACAGCAAAGTTAAATGGGCTGCCCTTAGATGATACTGATGAAGGATGGGAACAGGAGAGAAAAGAAGCCAAAAAAAAACAAGTCATTAAAAAGTAGGTTTTATTATGCCATGACAGCAAAACACAAAATAATGGATGCTTATAGGCAACATCTGCAATCTTTGTTGTACATCTAAATTTAATGTAAAACATACAATAAAGCATTTTTGGAGGACAATAAAATTATAAGCCAAAATTGCCAAGTAGGCTATATATATATATATATGTGTGTGTGTGTATACAAGCATAAATATACTTATATGAATATACATAAAATTGAATAAACCATTTTCAAAAATGTAAATGACCTCATTCACTAAATTACAAACCAAAATTCATATTCATCTATGACTTTCACCCGTTTTTAAATAATACCAAGTAGTCTATAGACACACAAGCATAATTATATTTACATAAATATACATAAAACTGAATTTTAAAAAATGACCTAATTCACTAAATGATATACCAAAATTCATATTCATCTATGACTTTCACCAGTTTTAAGTAATACCAAGTAGGCTTTAGACATACAAGCATAATTATATTTGAATATGAATATACATCAAATTGAATAAACCATTTTCAGAAATAAAAAGAAAAATGTACTTACTCACCCTAAATACATTCAATCTAAGCGCATTCATAAATATGACTAACATGAATACATCTAAATATATTTAAATCCTACAGGCTACAATATCACAAATAATTGTACAGTGTTCTAGAAAACAATTAACTGAATGTTTTATAGCTGTTGAATGTGAGAGAATTTAATCCATGAAGTGTTTCAAGCTTCCCACGAGTTTCGTGTCTTTCAGTACGTTTAGAAGGCATCGACTAAATCATTCACATGCTGATTTGGAACGAAAACAACATGAGAACAAAATATGTAGACACTCAACAAAAAAACCTCTCAAGAGCACAAATGTAATTTACCTTTAATCTGTCCAATCTTTATTTCGTCATAACTGAAGAAGTCGCTTTCGTTGATCTTTCAGTTTTAGACTGCACTGATTGCTAATGTAAGAAAACGTGGGAACGTGAGCAGTGTTATTTCATGTATTTATGTTCGTAGTGCATTTTGCATCTGTAAAAGCATACATTTCTCTCGTACATACTAACCTTGGATTTGAAACGCTTCAGAAGTGCATCACGAACCTTTGGGGAAAATGAAATATCATTATATTGAGCATGACTAATAGAGTTTTAGAGAGTAATACTCAACTGATGTGAATGAAAGTGGTTAAAATGTTATATTTTCAGCCTAAATTCCTTAAACAATTATGATCAATCATACGCAGGGCACGTGTAGTGGGCATAGTTACCTTTTTCTCTCCCAAGCAGTTTGTCAGCAGTATCAAAAAGCCCTGCAATGAAATACAACAAAATATTTGAATGTACATGCACAAATGAGCACATAAACAGAAGAAGTGTTTGATGCTTGACCCTTACCTGCAGTGAATTGAACAATGTAAATGCGTAGCTCACAATTTGGGCAAAAGGTTTTTCTGTAAGATCAAGATACAGCACGAAAATTCCGAGGAACCAAGTTATTCCGAGGACAGGGCTTAGGAAAACTATTGTCTTAATCATACTCTTGGCAACATCCTTTTGGTCCCGTGCCTTTGACTCCGACACAGTAGGATTTACTATCTTCATGATCACCACAACCAGCGTGAAAAGGTTTACAATCACAATAGTTAAGGCAGGAATTACAAAGGAAAAGATGGAGCCCTTCAACATCCCCCGATACAAGAGCCAGCAAGTCTCTGTGGAATAGTATACATTATCTTTACCGTTCTCGAAAGAAATGTAGGTTGTTGCCACACATATTAATGGGCATACGTAGCCAACAGTGATAGACAATACCAAAAAAACAATTTTCCTCAGCTGGTCAAAGACAAATATCAGTTGGTGAAGAAGCACGAAACTCAAGCACAGCATCCAGAAGAAGACGGCGAGGAAAAAAAAGTGATTGGTTACTGTGAGGATGGAGCACCAGTTTGGGGTGATTGCCTTCGGATCGGCTGATGCTAAGAATCCACAGTGTGCAAACAGCATGCATAAAGAGATGTTGACTAAGGCCGTGTGCCGAAAATTTGTGATGTCTGACTTTACAACTGCATCCCATACCAAAAACTCAATGATTAAACACAGAACAAGTGAGACGATGGATATTCCTAAACCAACGTAAGTCAGTTCCTCCATGTACAGAAGGGTCTCTGCATTTTTGGACATCAGTATGGTGAACGCAGAGTTGTGTTCACATGTGCACAACGTTTGTTGTTGCGCACCACCCCATTTACACCCCTGTGAAGACCACGCATTCTGATTTACATCCCAGAAAACACAATACATTTCATGATTCCGAAGTCTTTTTTCAGCGTAATCGAACGCCAGCTTAACAGAGATGGAATTATTCTTACTGATATTGTTTGCAGTGGTAACTGACAAGATGGTGGTCTCTAAGCTTATTTTGTCATACTGTGGTAAAATTTCATGAAGGTTCCGGAATCCAACGACAACAACACTATTGTCTGCGATGACGCTGCTATTAAAGGCGCCGCAGTGTTCCCCTTTAGTCTTACTACAGAGCGCCAGTTTAACATTGTTAGAATTGTGACGATCATTTGAGGTCAGATTTGAGTTGCTTATCATTTCCTCAATAGTCTGTAGATATGTTATAGATAAATTTGTGTTTTCAGTTTTAGGATCTTTCCAGGCTTTTGTGTCATTCAAAGCGTTGCTTATAGAGCTGACAAAGTCCTGAAATGTAAAAACAACAAGAAAATGACATGCGATTAGACTTTGAGCAAACACAGGAATTTGATCATTTGTCATTTTGAATGAATGGTGTTGCTTCTAATGAATTAGAGTTCATTTCTGACATGTTTCCAGTAAAGAATGAGATATTATTTATTTGCTATTGGAGTCCTTAATTTGTGACATAAAAACACAGCTCAACACACACACACACACACAAAAAAAGCTAATTTTTGTTTAACAGAGCTTTTAAAAACAGAAATAGTTAGAATTATAGTTTCTTTGTCCTTTGAGTTCGTTTTAATTTTCACTAAATATTACAATCGTTTTCGCTTAATTCTCAAATAAGAATTTCTTTCTCAAAACAACAAGTTCAATTAGTTTCTAGTTCACACCAGATCTGAATTTCTTATCCATTTAAGCAAATTACAGGTGTTTTGGCACATGTGTGAAAGTACAACTATCTACAGTTTGCACAATAATTCAATACACATGGCTTGCTGATCAAAACTGATGAGTTGATTGTCATATTCTTCACATGAAATCTTTCGTCTTATGAGCTGTCACATGCAAGATGATCCATTCAGTTATTAAAATCTGTCATACATGTATATTTTATAAATATCTATGACATAGAATGTTTTCTATTTACATGCTTCAAAATAAATAAATGTACTGTACTGTATACATACACATTTTTCTGTGCACTACACAGTATTGACTAGTTCCAGTAAAATAAAATAAAAAAAGCCATATCTAAAGAGCACTTAACTAGACAAAACTGACAGTCAGTGTCAACAAGGCAGTATGAAATAAAAAACCTTTCCACGGTTGACTGCCATGGTAAAAAAAAAAAAAGTCAATGTCATTGGCTAATTTACTGGCAATAACTACATTTTGAAGCATGAAGTCAAATGTTTTGGCTGAGTTCCTACAGCAAGCATATGCCATAAAACAGTTGTGAAAATTGTACTTCCAATTAAGAGAATGCTAAGACTGTTTGAAAAATGAGGCAAAGTGATTGAGGAAAACTTCAATACTTAAGAAGCTCTAAAACATTTTTTATGTGCATTGTGTTACTTCATCAAACTATTGTTATAGATCTGAAAAAATAGCCCTGCTCCCGAACCAAATATTACTGAAGATTTTAAAGAAGAGTTCAATTTGAATAATAACGTTACAAAGAAACTTAAGAGAAAACATACATACAGGCATGATAGTATCATCCCATTGATTTGACTGCTGTTTAGATACATCGTTCATGGCTTGGAAAATGACTATAGCTGTATTAATATTTGCAAATGAGTTGAATGTCTCCACAGTGGTTGAATGCTGTATTTGTCGGAAAAGTATGTCTGCATTGTTCTTAATAAAGCCAATGCCTTTATTTAACATCTGTTATTATGAAAGGAAAACAAGCATTTAGTATTAAGGGTAAATCTGGCCAGCAGTGAGAAATAGGTTAATGAATATTGAAGAATGATACCTCTACAGCCTGTTGAACGTCATGTAGTGCAGCATCCACACAAGAAGGGATTTCCTTTTCCCAACTTTCGTTAGAGCAATTTCTACTGGTCAAACCAACAGCAGTGCCCTTACAAGGCATTTGGGCCATATAATTGCTTTTTGTGATGGGCCAGTCACCTTCTTCTTTACAGAATTTCGAATGGGCTGTATTAAGGAATGAAATACTACAGATTTGTTTTTCTCATTATTTTTGTTTTTACAAATACAATTTTAAAAAGTCACTAGTGTTTAAGTAAACAATATACATCTGTTTGCAGGAAACAATTCACTGTTCACCCATATCCAATAACATTGGTTCACTCAAAAATGAAATTTGTCTCCCCATTAAGTCACTATCATGCCATTTTTTCTTCTAAGGACTTTTTTTGAAGAATATCCAAGCCACTCTTTTGCAAATAAAAACAAAACAAAAGCACCACAAAAGTCCTACAATAGCTTTATGTAATGAATAGTCCGAAAGTCATAATACATCTTCAAATGCATTCCAGTTCAGAGCTTGGATGGTGGGAAAGATTGGCAGTAAATAATGACTTTGTGTTGTCGTATGATTTTGCAAGATGTAGCATGAGTCACTTTTTTTTTTGTCGTCATTTTGGAGCTTGAAAAAAACCATTATATGGAAAAGAGTGACCATTTTATTACTTTTATTACTTAAAAGTCATAGTTATGGCACAAATTAATTATAAAAAGTAATTAATTTCAGCTTGTTTTCATTATTTAGACTTCTTTTCATAATAGTGATTTACCAAAGCATGATTTTTTCCCTCCATTTTGGCAGAAATGGGCTTCCATAAGTTTGGACATTGAGTAAAATAAAAACTGAAAATTATTAAAATGAAAACACTGATTGGTGATGCTGATGTAAAATTTCAGTAATGTACATTTGTTAGGCAAAAAGCTTGTAATTCATGTAAACATATTGTAAAATATATTTTAGAATATATATACTGTATTTAGTTCAGTCATGAAACTCTAGATGGCGCATTCTGACGGGGTGTTAACGTAACTGATGATATTCAGAGAGATAAACATCTTGGCACAAGCTGATTGGTTCATGCTGCATATGCAGCCAATGAGCTTAGTGCCTTGCATTTATACGGCTGGCTAACGTTCACTTGAGATTCCTGCAGCGCGCTTTCAGAGTTCTCTGAAACCCTCCACCTTCCCCAGCTCCACCTGTATAGATCTGCTACAGGGTTATTTTATATGCTATTTGTGCAGCAGTATGTCTTAAATACTCACAGCACCGTATCGCCATATGCATTGGCAGTAGCAAGTTCCTGTACTTGCTTGCAGCAGCAGCAATAATCTACAACTACAGCAATAACCAACAGCAGCAGCAATTCAGCAGCAGCGTAGCAGATCTGTTCCGCCAAGACCAAATACATTAACATTGTCATCTCCATCACCATGCTAAAATGTTCTGAGAGTTGAAATTATATTTTATAAATGTAAGGTGAAGTGGGTCAGTTTTTAACCATTAGCACCACCAAAAAGATTTGTTTTTTTTCCAAGAGTTGTCCCAAACATGTCTACTTTCACCCCTCACTAGTCAGACTAACATCCCCAAATTCACACCATTAGTTGAGTCAATGTCACTGTGTCAGGCTGGTCGATTGTAACATTGAAAAAAAAAATCACACCTGTGAAATACTGTTTACAACTTTAAAAGATATAGAATTATGAAAAAACATCAAAACTTACAATTAATGATGGGAATCTGCACATTCTGAGATCTGTTTGTGTTCTTTTCGGCTCTGCCGTTTGTGAATATACACGTGACATTCTCTGTCTCTGCTTTCACTCCACAAAATATGTCTGCCTTTATTTTGTAAGATAAAAATTTCCCCTGGCGTTCTAGAAAATGCAGTAATTGGAAATTGCTTATCATCAAGTGCGTAAAAACCATATAGATATGAATCTTTCCATCACATTGTTCACGCTGAGTATGTTTGCATTGAGAGAGCAAAAATGGTAAATGAGATATGCTTACCTGATCCTCTATTTGTGTAAGCAAGAGCAGTATTCCATGTAACATTGTAATTTTCTTTGTCGTCTAAAATTTTACACTCAATTTCAACCACCCATTTTGCATTTGGATCTCTACAATCAGGAAATTGGGGCTTGCTCATAGCCTGTATTTCTGGCAGAAGTGCTATGTCCAACTCTGTACTTGCTATGTGATTTATGGACCTTCTTGTGTACACACATTTAAGTGTTCCTTATTCAGACAGACAGACAGACAGATAGATAGATAGATAGATAGATAGATAGATAGATACATAGATAGATAGTTGCAGTACAAGAAAATACAATTTCAGTTTTTCTACTTCAAGATTTCACGTTTAATTCAACATGTCGTTTCCTGTTTCTTTGTAATTGTTGAGTGAAAATTGATTTTACACCAATCAGTGGATTGTTTTAGACAAATTGCCTGAGAAATAAATTATTCTGCATAATAAACTGGGATTTGAACATCGAAGAATGACACATTACCTTCAAGCTGAAAATTGCCAACTTGTATTCATTTTTAAAAAAGACTTAAACAAGAGTGAAAATACTTTCAAAGTCATGCGATTATCTTAATTGCGTATATGTGAGGAAACATACCTTTCCAGCTTCCTGAAATGCCATTCAGTTCAACAGTGTCCATCAAATTGACGTTCTTCAAGATGGCCTCTTTTCCTGATGTGATCTCTGTCGTTTTATTCTGCCCGTCTGTTAAGAACCACTTTACCACTCCCAGCTTTTCTGGTGGAGTACAATTTACAAATGTCGAGGAGCCGATATCAATTGCCTTTTGAGGACCGTTAATAGAGACGAGGCCTTTGGAGAAAATAACAAGGTTAACAAGGCCTTTCTTTATCGCATAACATTATAAGTGTGGAGTATTGTAAATAATACAAAACGTTAAAGGGGTCATATGATGCGATTTAAATTGTTCCTTTCTCTTTGGAGTGTTACAAGCTCTTGGTGCATAAAGAAGATCTGTAGTGTTGCAAAAGACTAAAGTCTCAAATCCAAAGAGATATTCTTTATAAAAGTTAAGAGTCAACCACGCCTACCTAAAACGGCTCGTTCTAACACGCCCCCACATATCTACGTCACGATGTGGGAAGATTTGCATAAAGCCGCCCAAATGTTCACGCAAAGAAAGAAGGCGTAACTTTTATTCTCGCTGTAGTATTGTTGTTGCCGCTACCGCCATGTCGTGAAGACGCTGTGTTTCATTGTGAAAGCTAAACTACTTTGTTTGGTCTTCCAAAAGAGGACGATATCTGCTTCATCATGCCTAGAGCTGATCCGTGCTGGTCACTGAGGAAATACATAAACTTTGCGCTGTGGATCGCCGGATCGGCTTTCACCGTGGACGAAGCGGAGTCCAGCCCGGGGTCGTCACATGTGGTTTCCGCAAGCCCTCCCACCGCTCCTTCGTCGAATCCGCCCGCCGTTCCTCACTCTAGCCACAGGCCTCCGCTCACTCTAGACCGCCGTGTGTGACGCTGTGTTTCGTTGTGAAAGCGAAACTACTTTGTTTGGTCTTCCAAAAGAGGACACGACTAG